AACCACAGCAAATGTCTTTCTCTTCGTTTCTCTTAAAAGTTATGCTCAAAACAATCAGTGAGTAAAGCATGCCATAGCCAAAAAGACTCGTATAGTTTCCTTTTATTTTTTTCCTATGGAAGAACAATTTGTGCAAAACTGTGTAGATATGAATGGTCAAGCTTACGGTTGTTATAAACTTGGGTCTCTAGATATATTTATTACTTCCATCTTTTCCTGCTAAGTATAAGCTTTATACTTTAAGATTCACTTCCTATCTTCCCAGCCTTTTCTAATTTCTCAGAATGTATTTTAGCTCAATAATTTGAGGATTATAGCAGGAGTGCACAACCCACTTAAAAAGCAAACATGAGGTCCATTCCTAGAAAACACTACTGCAATGCAATCGACATTCTTCTCTTTCCGCTAGGAGGCAATTAACATTATACTGGCATCTACATGTATATTAACATCTAGGTTTATAAATAAAAATTAAAGTTTAGATATTTTGAAAGGAACTTCATTGAATAGCAAGAGTTAAATTGTGACAGTTACCTCTATGTTTCTGATATATGTATAAACCACTCGGTTTGAAGATAAGACTAAATTAAATGTTTCTTGCTTGTTTTTTATTTGTTTTAGACATTTTTATGAATGACAATTTGACATATGGTGCATTTCCATTCATTGGCTTTCCATTCATCTTTCCCATTTTTATTTTATTCATTTCTAATTAATTCTGGGATAGAGTTCCTGGAAGAGTATCCCTACTGAGTAACTGTAATGCATAATTAATGTTTCTTTTTACAAATTCGATTTACATACTTAAATATCACATGTTGGTTATTATATTTGTTTTGTTGCTAAATTCATCTGTCTTCTTTTTAACCTCAGCTTTTCATCATACTACCTAACTTTTAATTTTTTTATTTCCATAGATTTAAAATAAATTGTGTTGAACATCACCTGGATTTAGCTCCAAATGGTTTAATTGAATATATATACATATATATATTTCATATATAAGTAACATATGTGTAATAGTAATAGATAAATAATTTTTATTTCCAGGTTTTATGTTCCTGTGATTGTACACTTTATATGGTAATAGTATTTAAAATTATTTCTTATGCTTCTACATTGCCAATAATCTATTTTGGGTATTTTTCCTTACATCAATTTGCATAATTTTGCTAAACAATCAAAAACTTCCAATCAAAAAATACATTAATAAATCAATTTGATTCTTTAACATTCAAAACTTAAAAATCAAGGTCCATCTTTCTTAATCCTTGATCAATGAGTAAAATAAATATTAGCACTATTGATAGGCCACATTTTAAAGTTTATGCTGAATACAATACACTTAAGATATATGAATTATTGATATTAATTTTATTTATAATAGATAAATATTTTAAAATATACAATATATGCAAAAAGGTGCAGAGGATCTTGTTCTTATAATAATTTTTAAATGTGCTGAAAATGTACTTTGTACTACATCTTGTTACTAAGTGCTTACAAACATTTTCTTTAATCCTCACAAAAATTAAATACATCAAAACTTTATTTTTATAACTAAAGTTTAGTTATAAGGAAAGTAAGGCTTCAATAAGTGAGCTATCAACTATACTTTAATTATACTTTAGCACAGGGTTCTCCAACCCCTAAACTGATGTGTGGCTGCACAGCAGGAGGTGAGCCATAGACGAGCTAGTGCAGCTTTTTCTGTATTTACAGCCTCTCCCCATCACTCTCAATACTGCCTGAGCTCTGTCTCCTGTTAGATCACTGCTGACCTTAGATTGTCATAGGAATGTGAACCCTATTGTGAACTGCTCATGCAAGGGAACTAGGTTGTGCATTCCTTATGAGAATCTAATGCCTGATGATCTGTCACTGTCTCCCCATCACCCCCAGTTGGAACCATCTAGTTGCAGGAAAACAAGCTCAGGGCTTCCACTGATTCTACTTTATGGTGAGTTGTACAATTATTGCATTATATATTACAATGTAATAATAACAGAAATAAAGTGCACAATAAACGTAATTCATGTGAATCACCCTGAAACCAGCTTCCCACCTCACTCTCCCCTTTGTCTGCAGAAATATTGTCTTCCACTAAACCTGTCCAGTGCTGAAAATGCTGGGGACTTCTACTTTAGCAAACTAAGTTAGAAAAATCCAGCTCAATATGTATACTCCTCTCACTGTGGACACATTTTGGGTCTAACAGTAAAGAAATGTATTCTCTCTAATCTTAATTTTGAACATTTATTTATTTTTACTTTTTGTATCTCATTTTTTGACCTTATATTCCTCTCATTTGCTCATACACTTTATATATTAGGGAAAGTTTTTTGTTTGTTTGTTTTTTAAATTAAAATTTGTGAAATACTTATCTATAGGCCCTTGTTACTTACATGTCTTCTTAAACTTGGGAACTGTTCCACATGGACATCTATGCATTCCTGCCCTTGCTTACAGGAGCAGTGTTTATTTTGGTTAACAGTAAATGAATTGTTAAATTATAAGCCTTTAAGATCTAAAGCCACCACGTTAATAAAACATTAATAAATTATCAAGAAGAATCATGATGAAGAAACTTTAAATTGGAAGAGAAGTATATTTGTTGATATTTACTTTGTAACAAATTATTCCAAATCTACTAGTTTAAAACCAAAGACGTTTATTGTTTTCATAGCTTTATAGGTCAAATAGTGCTTATGGTCTGTCTAGGCTCAGGTAGTTCTGCATGGTACATGAGAGGTTGGCAAGCTGGTTACTCTTGGGGAATTCACTCACATGTTGGCAATTTGTTCAATATCAAGATGATGATCATGTGTCTGTCTTAAGCAGGATATCTTGTACTAATTCATATGACATGGTTGTAGCTTTTCAAGCAAGATAAGATACACTCTCATCTGTCTAGGCCACATACAAAAAATTCTGTTTGGTAAAAGCAAGTTTCATGTCCAAGCCTACGTTCACGGGGGTGGAGAAATTAATAATGTATTCATTCAATTTGCTACCTAGCGAGAAGTAACAGCATGTCAGAGAATCGGGTGATCATATGTCCTAGGGACATATGAAGGGTACAGAATACATGGATCAAAGAACAGAGAACAATGGGTATCCAGACATCTCAGCAGGTGCCGCCTGGAGGCATGTCTATCTTTGGCAGAACAATGCACACATAAATCAATGTCAACGTATTCTGGTGCCAATAACAAAATGTTACCATAGACTCTTCTCTGGAACTTTAGGCAGTCCTACGGTGATAGCTTTTTATTATGATAACGAATTCTGCTTACATTTATGGAAATCATTATGGTTAATTCAGAACAGGTATATAAGTATACATACATACATGCACAGACACACACCTGTACACATAAACACATACACACACACACACACACACACACACACACACACACACACAGCACCTAGCCTTTACTATAGTTGTTAAATAAAAAAATAATGCCTGAACATGAGATTCATTCTCACAGATAAGATATTCTTGTTTGTCTTTCCAGAGAGTTTTTCAAATTAAAAGTGAATATGACCAGTGCTGCTTATACATCATGCAGGATTTTATGGGCACCTCCAGATGTCTGTGATACAAATTTAGACTCTCACTTCAAATGAATTAGAATGTCACATAAATAAAATTGATAACACTCAATACACATTGATTTACTGAAAATAATTGCACCACTAAACTCTCTATTTTAAATCAGGTATATAAATAATAGCCAAAATAAACATTGCAATGTATTTTATATCTTGTATTTCTAAGATAAAGCTTTCATAATCAGATAGTTTCTAAAAATATAATTACCAAGTGCATTATTTTCTGTGCACCTAAAAACTGTCCCCTAATAGCCCTTAAAAATGGATCTTATTGCTTTGTTATTCTAATATTCAGTAAAATAAAAATGAAGTTCTAAGCATTGTATCAATATATAATTCATTAAAAGAGCACATTTTACTGTTCTTAAACACAGGCAAGTCTTTTATTTAAAACAACTCAAAATAATCCACTAACGTAATATTTTTGTGTCTTTACGTAGATAAAAATATGTACAATACCATGAAAGTGTCCATGAATTTACTTAGCTCATGATTTCTGAAGTAATACAATAGTTTTATTTGAATATTCTTAACATTGATTATTGTTATTTTATCACCACAGAAAGCTCTTTCATGCAACTTAATATGTGTGTGTGTGTTCAAAATGATACGTGCATTTATATATGTAAAATAATTTATGGCCATTAACCCCATAATCTATTAGTAATTTTATCAATATTCAATAAGCGTTTTTTTTCTGTTCATCAAAGTAATAGGTCACATGCCCCAAGTATTTGTATGATACATTGTGATAAAATATCTATCCTGAAGAAAAAAAAATTTCCACCCTTTAAATATATATAGGGTTTATCATTTCCAGGAGACTCTTACTTGGGCCAAAAGTCATCATTTTTTTATTAACAGTTTAAAACCATTTATGTTCCGTTTATATCAAGATATTTATTTGTCTTAGAACCAAGCTTGGAGGTCATATATAATATATGAATATCCTGATCATAAATACATTTAACAGTTAATTTCAATTCCATTTTACTTTAGTGCTGTACATTTTCTTTAGAAGAAAAATACATATTTTCAAAACCATAAAACTTATTGAGTGATACAGCTTTAATATAAATATCTTTATTTGAAGAAGAAAAACATATAAGTACATTGTATATTATCCTGTTTTCTTAAATTGCTTAGATTTATGAATATATCTAGAGAGATGTATTTATAAGTTAAAATGGTAATTCTTGAGTTTCTTCGTAGTGCCAAAGGATGAGGCATTTTGTTGGAAGTAGTATATACTGGAAAGAAAAGCAAAATAAGCAATTCACCATGGTTTCAAAGACACTGCATTATGATTTTGGGGATATTTGCATTATGATTTCAAGATTCAAGGAGACAAGTGCTATTTTCCGTCCATGTGTGTTCACTATATTAGTTTTTATTGCTGAAAAATACATTAGCATAAATTTAGCAACCAAAAAAGCAATATTTATTTATTAACTTCCAGGTCTGTAGGCAAGATGTCTCAGTACATCATAGCTGAATTCTCTGCTCAGCATTAAGAAGATTGAAATGGCATTAACTGGGCTGTATTCCTTCTGAATTCTGGGGTAAGTATTTCAAGTTCATTCAGATTGTTGGCTAATTAATTTCTTTACTGTTGTAGGATTGAAGTTACCCTTTGTCTGCTAACTGTGATGGTGATCACTCAGCTTCTAAAGAGCTGCCTTCTCCATTAGTTGCTCAGAACATGGGCATTTACTTTCTTCCAGAAAAGCTGGAATGCGTTTTTCTGATTTCCGTTTTTAATTCTAGATAGGGAAAATACTACTTTTGAAGGGTTCATCTGATTTGGTGAGGCCCATGAAGATAATCTTTCTACCTTACAATCGACTATGTCCTATAACATACCCTCATCAAAGAGTAAAATGTATCATCTTTACAGATCTGCAAATTATTCAGGACATATGCACCAAAAAAGAGACATTTTGAGGGATATCTTAGTATCCTGCCAGACACTAATGACAGAATGTTAATGTAGGTATAAGAGATGTTCTTATAAAAATTTTCTCTCTAAAAATTGCAACACTTTTGAGGACGTTTGGAAGGTTATGGCTGACTATATGACTGAAAGTTGAAAATGTGAATACTGATAAGAATATAAAAGTGAATGTCTTATCTTCTACTTTCCATTTTTATGTTTGATTCTCAGGCACTTTTGTAATAACCCAACCAATGTCATATATTTTATCAAAGTACTGATGATATTTAAATAATGGGTGCTCATTTGTAACAAACAATAATGTCCTGCATGAAACATTCAGATTCCGTCTCTTACTAAAAGCAGTAAGCATTTACAATTTGTAAAGCACACAAATTCTGGAACCTCTCTATTAAATTTTATTTCTCCTTACAGACTAGCCAGTTCTTTCAAGAGCTTATTATTGTCTTGTAGTAGCTTGTGAAATATATCCAATAATGACCAATAAATACTATTACCTTCATTTTTTTTCAAGATCTTCTCCTAGAGTTAGAAATATTTTTTTTCAATTTTAATTAGCATGCCAAGATACTGCAGATAGCAAGGTAACAAAATATTTTGCCAGTGATTAATGTGTATGAATATTTTTTCCTCTATTTGTTTTTTGCCACCTACACATTGAGCGCTAATTCAATACCACGTCTATCAGTTTTTTTCTTTTGTCTCAATAGCTATAGGATGTCAAGTCTACACTCATTTTACATGCTCAGCGTCCATGGGGTCCTCCTTCCCACACTGGGCCATGAACTTCTGGAGGTTATTCCATCGTGTGCTATGACATCTGGAATATGTACCCTTCATGGATGCTGCAGGAAGAAGAGAGTAGGCTCAAGGAGGCACACTGTCACCTTAATGCCCCAGCCTAAGTCAAACAGAGCCTGGGATATGGGATGAAGCAGGCATAGCCACTAAATATCTCTGTCACAGCCTTCAACTCAGCAAATTGCAAATAAAGTAAAAATTCAAAACCAATTAAAGCAGAGGAAAATAAAGACTTCAGATAAAATTGCACACAGAGATGAGTCACTGAGGTATTTGTTCTTTGAGTTAGGCAGGCAGACATAACAAGTATCAAGGTCTTTTCTAAAAGAAAAACTATGAGGTTTATACATGTGTATATATATAATTACACACACACACACATATATATATATAATCAATATTATATTGTTTTGTAATACGTTGTCAAATATATCCAATAACAACCAATACAAACTATTATCTTTATTTTTTATTTATGTATATATTATATGCACAAATATATATTTGTATTTATATATATTTATATACAATATTACATATATATATGAAAAATATTTTTCTTATATTCGAGTCAATCCTTAAATTTATTTCTTTTTTTTTTTCACTGTACCCATGCTTTTCTTGAAAATGCAATCCACAAATCAATGGAAAATATCTCCATAATAATATCCTTAATTTTATAGTGGTGGGAATATTTCAGAGATAATATCATTATTTAGAGTACTATATATCATGTTCTAGGCTTCTGATTTAGAAGCCCTAATTTCAAAGCTTTTTAATTCAGTTTCTGTGTAACTGTTATAATAATAATTTTATATATATATATACATGTAAAATAATATATTGCAAACCCAGATTATTTGAGGCTTTCCCAATCACATTGAATTGCATTTGTTGGGATGGACCACTGAGACAATGTATTTTAAAAGCTTTACCATCAAGTAGTCCACATAGAAACTTTAGGACAACTGTCTGACCTCACTGGATCTAGCCTATGTAAACTATGACTAGAAATGGCAGGGTATAAATTGTTACAACCACTTGGGAATTTTGTTGAGCATTATCTATTACAACTGAGCATACACATGAGACAAATGTTCTGCTCTTAGATATATTCTCAACAAAAATGTATATAAGTATTTTTAAAAAGACAAGCACAAAACATTTGCATTACTTGTAAGTAGTACAGACTGTAAATAATGCACTTTTCTATAAGCAGAAACACATGATTTAATTATGGTATGTCTGCTAATGGAGTACTCTATAGGAAAGAAAATGAATAAAGTACTGCTATGAAAAGCATCAGGGCCATATTTTTTAACAAACAATTTTTTTAAGGCCAGACATAAATAAAAACTATGCAATCTAATTTAGATTATATCCAATAGCAGGCAGAACTAGTTGATGATGCTGTAAATCCAGACAGTAGTCACCTTTGTGGGGGAGCAGTATTTCTCATCTATAAAATGTGATTTATAAACTCCAAATATGCAGATACAGTAATAGGTACTGATAAATTATATAATCAATGAGATATTGCTTTGTGAACTTATTTGTTTTCAGATACATAGCTTCTCACTGTCACATTTCCACCCCAATGTCACCCCAACAGAATAGATCCTGCTTAGTGTATGTGAAATTATGAATTCTTATTAAAGTGTTATGTCTTTTACTCTTCTGTTTCACATGGATATATTGTTTAAAAGACTCAGGACTGCTACTTTTTGGAAGTCATGTTTATTTGAGAATGGTGTCCAATGGGGAGATTAGGCTGGCTTTAAAACATATTCTCTGGCCAATTCCTCTCTGCTTTCCTTCAGAGATGTCCTTGGGCACCTGCCCCTTTGCAACTATTGTTGGCAGATTGATGTGATGTTACTGGCAATGGAAGAAGCAACTGCTAAGTTTAGCCTTGAGCCTAAGCGAAAGGAATCTTCAATTCAGTCCAATAGAGAAAACTAGAGATTCACAGTGCATTTTAGGGGCAAAGGAAAAATAATGTTGCTTTCATGTTCTTTATATGTTATATATATATAGTACATACATACACACACACATGCATACAAATATATATATTTTTTAATATGAACTCATGGTGAAGCTTTGTTTGGGCAAAGTTTTGGTTTTGTGATGATGAATCTGGCCAAATCCACTAACCCAAAAAGAGCTCATGGTGTTGTACAAATATCTACTTGAAAGACATACATACATATTTTATGCATTTTAAGAGATAACAAAACAGATTATCATAATGCATGTTTAAAAACTATTTTTCAGTATTCATTTACAAATTGTTATCCTAACCTGAATTTCCAAGGTATATGTTCCAAATACATTGGGAAATAGCAAGGATTCAACTACAAGAAACTTTCTTTCCATTATGCAATGAAATAGTACCACATTTACAGGCTTTATATAGTCAGCTTCGACAGAAGCTTTTATTTGAAGAAAATGTGGTAATGATACAAAAAAATTTTAAACTGCTGTTTTGAAAAAGCATTTATCTATGTAGATAGATAACATTTAAAATATTTTCAATGCTTTGGGCCACAACAAAACCTCACATATAAATCAGTTAATAAATATATAAATCTAATTCCAAATAGATGTTTTCTGAATAGTATTTTATATACCTCACTTTTAATGCCCTAATAACAATTAATTACAATGTCTTTATAATTTATCATTAAGAAAAAAACTGCCATAAAATCTGGGGATGAAGCTATGTGCAGAGAACTTAATGACTCATAAATTTGCAGAAGGCAACTCTGGGCTTATTTACTTTTAAAAACAGAATTAAATCATTCATTTAAGATTTTCTGGCTACATTCAACTCAACAAGAAAGGGAAGTGGTCATTGATTTGCCAGATTACTATGTATCTGACATGTTTTAAAAATTACTCATCTTTAACTTGTGCTTTTTAACCCGTTCTCCCTAAATATTAATTCCATTCATATTAGTCCACTCTCACACTACTATGAAGAAATTCCAGAGATCGGGTAATTTATAAAAGAAAGATATCTAATGGAATCACAGTTCTGCATGGTTGGGAGGCCTCAAGACACTTATAATCATGGCGGAAGACAAAGCAGAGGCAGACACCATTTTATTCTGTGCCTGGCCCCTCCCAAATCTTATGTCCTCACATTTCAAAACATAATAATGCACTTTCAACAGTCCCCCAAAGTCTTAATTCATTCCAGCATTAACCCAAAAGTGCAAGTCCAAAGGTTCATCTAAGATAAGGCAAGTTGCTTCTGCCTATAAGTCTAAAATGAAAAGCAAGTTAGTTACTTCCTAGATACAACTGGAGTACAGGCATTGGGTAAATACACCTATTCCAAACGGGAAAAAAATGGCCAAAACAAAGGGCAACAGGCCCCATGGAAGTCCAAAATCCAATAGGGCAGTCATTACACCTTAGTTTCAAACTGATCTTCTTTGACCGTTTCTCACATCCAGGCCAAGGTGCTGAAAGTGTTGGGCTCCCACAGCCTTGGGAAGTCCTGCCTCTGTGGCTTTGCAAGGTAGAGTCTCCCTCCTGGCTCTTTCACAGGCTGGCATTGAATGTCTGTGGCTTTTCCAGGTGCATGATGCAAGCTGCCAGCAGGTATACTGTTCTGTGTTCTGGAGGACAGTGGCCTTCTTCTCACAGCTCCACTAGGCAGTGCCCCAATGGGGACTCTGCATGGAGGCTCCAATTCCACATTTCATTCTCTCCTGCCCTAGCAGAGGTTCTCCATGAGGGCTCAACCCCTGCAGCAAACTTCTGCCTGGACATCCAGGCATTTTCATACATCCTCTG